ACTTGATCAAAACTACTATTTAATATAGAGGTAAGGTTAGGGTTGGATGCTGGTTTTACTTCATTCCTTATTTGAATTTACTTACAGAGCTTTACTTTTGTCTTTTCCTAATTTGCTGTCATTTCTGTTGTAGTGTAGAGCAATATTAGATGGCTCATAGATACCTGTACTCATCAGGACCATCTTGGTCCTTTTAAGAATTCTTCTCCAGTTGTGTACTAAGAACATTATTAAACGTTTCTAGGCTTGAATTTATTTAGACGTTTCTAAGCTTGTTATGTCTTGTGCAAATAATGTATTTAGAAATTTCATATCTTTTAAGTTCTAATTGGATTGTCTAATACTTTCCAGGCAAACAGGCTAAGCTAAGGTTAACCAAGAGTTGTAGAATTGAAGGAGGCTTCTTTGTCGGATGGATGGAAACTTAGCTGCTTTTTTGCATGTATAGCCAGAATTCATCGATGTTCTATCCTTGAGTGACAGAAGAGTATGAAATAATCCTGGCTCAAGAACTTACAAAGAAACCTTGTTCAGCTTTGCAAAGTGTTCCTCACTGCTCTTCCTATGTTTAATGTAAGACATGTAAGATTAATTGTCTTTGTTGGTGGAAGCGAGATGATGAATTGAGAGCTGGGCTACAAATTGGATTTGGTGAATTCTAATTGCGATGTTGTACTGTGTAATGCACACGATACTTTGTTGTTATTTAGATTTATAAGCTCAACGCTTTGGCACAGTGACCTTCTTATTTACGATTTTGGCTCTTTGATAATTCTTGTATGTGGATATTTAAGAAATTCATCTTGTAACGGGGTTAATCTTCGAGTCCAAATAAGGGCTAAGCTTTTGTAATCATCCGCCTAGAGACGTATCCTTCACATGTGCTTGGGTTCAATTGAGAAACTTCATTTTTGCTAAAAAAAAACTGAGAGGAGTAACGGACGATTTTTGTAAAGAATGATGTCTGATTTGCTTTGTGCTGTAATTTGCTTAAACTTTTTTTTCTTCCGAGAAAGTAATTTGCTTATCTCAATTAAACATCTACTGCCAGAGTCAATAGTAACTTACATTTTAATTTTCATGATCAATTCCTCATTTAAGTCATTTCATAAAATTTATGTTTTCCAATAAATAGTAGTACCGTCTTTCAACGTTTCTTCCTACTTCATAGTAACCTCCAAAAGATAAAACCTTAATTGCAAAAATCCTCTTTCAGTATATAAATAAATCCTCTAGCTTAAACCCAAACACGGTGAAGAAAGCATCAAACATGCAAATCCTCCTCTTCCTGCTCCTGGCCTTGCTGTCAATCTCCATCTCTCCATCAAAATCCTTCCTCGTTCTCCCGAAGCAACAACGAGGTGAAGCACGATGGACTTTTCTGCGACCGAGAAATGTTCAACCGGGGAGTTCGGAATACAGATTTCCATTAGGGATTCTCCCATCACCGATGATTACTGATCCAGCGTATCGTGAGTGTTGGAAATCTTTTCGATCATTGCCCGGATGCACCCCTTCGATGTTACTTTCGTCGAGGAAAAATACCATTGATATCAAACCAGATTGCTGCGATGCAGTGCGCAGGTTGAAACCTGATTGCTTTTATAAGATCTTTTACACTGATCCTTTTAAGGCTAACTTTGGACCAGATGTGAAGACATACTGTGCAGTGAAACATTGATATAATTAGCGGTGAAAAAGTAATTGTGGAATCTGAATTTATCTCTGTAACAAATAGAATAAAATTGTTGGCACAATATTATTTTGTTTCTGTTGTAAAACTCGAACATATCCATTTCTTTTCCTGATGAGTAACGAACCAAGGTCATAGTAGGAATTTAGGCACTAACAGTCGAACAAGGTTTCTCCATTGAGTTTTGTGAACAAATAAGAAGAATAAGGTCTAGAATTAAAAACAAATGGGGCTCGGTCTACTCCAAACTTGATTACGCATGCGGTGGAGAAACTGAATCAGATGCTTCCGTAACATGCCACCAGGATTTGATCGACGGAAAGGCTCTTGTCAAACCAATACAAACAACACTGCTGTCTTTCTGCGCCACTGTCAACCAAATAAGAGAACTTCGGCAGACGAACGTTAATAGTGAAATTTACAGTCAGTTTGATGATTTCTAACATCAACCCACAGGCCACCGCATTGCTACAAAGTCAGCCAAAGCAAACGCAACAGAAAATCTGTCATAGTTAATGCCCACCCCCCTGCCCTTCCCAGGGGAATGCATATTATCCACTCGCACACTTCAGGAATTGACACTTTCAGAATCCAACAGCTAATAAGTAAGCATGTATAGCATTGTTAACCGTTGTTCGAGTTTTCTTAGATAACCTGGAGCATTGTTAACCCTTGTTCGAGTTTTCTTAGATAACTTGGAGGTGCAGTAAAATTTTCCGTTCTCTTTTGGATTGAGAAGGATGTTAAACAATAAAATATTATAGATTCTCATTCATATTTCAAAAGCTACAACTACTTCCCTTTATATAGGGATACAATAATAAGAAATTTATTGTGTAGCCAATGTGAGGCTAAACACAATTACCTAATCACAATTATTTTCTTAGTTACAATCCTAATATCTCTCGATCACCAAATCTCTAATATATACTCCTAATATATTATTCCTAATATAATTATAATATTATAGATATCCATAATATATTCCTTTAACACCCCCCCACCTTAAGCTAGAGCATGTATATCATACATGTTTGGCTTATTACAAACAAGATGTACTCACTCGAATATGTGACACGGCTTACAGGGCTGAAATCTTCCTCATCGTAGTTGTCTTTATCTTCTAGTCTTCTACTTGAATGTCTTCCACCACAAACAATCTCAAGCAAAAAATCACCAAATGCGATACCTTGATCTCTTCTTCACAGTTTGACTAAAGAACTACCAAACAACGAATCTCATCAAGGATCCACTAAACAAACGATCCTCTTTATGGATCAACCAAACAAACGATCCTCTTCGGACTAACCAAACAAATAATCCTCTCTAGGGATCAACCAAATAGACAATCCTCTTCACAGATCAACCAAACAAACGATCATCTTCCCGGATCAACCAAGCAAATGATCCCTCCTTAGTGATCCACCAAAAACAAATGAAGCCGAGAAAATAACCTTCATCGAACCAAACTCCAAACCAAATTATGAGTCAATCAAAATCTTTTTTTTTGGTAGCTAATGGTGGTCAAAGTATGTAGACTACAAGCGGTGGTGGCGGTGGTGTCAACAAGTTGAATAGTCGATGAGCAAAAGAAAATCGAGATGACACAGACGGTGACGGAAACATATACATCGAGGATGACTAGTGCTATTAACAATAGCAATCCCGATCATCAACAAGGCCATCGAAAGCAAGACGGACAAGAACCTACGACACTATTCACAATAAACAGTCAACGTGCGCACTATTCATGGTGAACAGTCACCACGCCTTGTTCACGAAAACTAGTCACAAGAAAGAAGGAAGATTGTAAGGCAGAAAAATGATGATAAGAGATTGAGGGCAAGGGTTTGTGAGGATTTAGGATATTATGGAGGCTAGGGTTTGCGTGACTCTGATACCATGTTAAACAATAAAATATCATAGATTCTCATTCATATTTAAGAAGCTACAACTACTCCCCTTTATATAGGGTGCAAGAACAAAAAGTTTATTGTGTAGTCAATATGAGACTAAACACAATTACCTAATCACAATTTTTCTCTTAGTTAAATCCTAATATCTCTTAATCACCAAATCTCTAACTTGTACACCTAATATATTATTCCTAATATAACTATAACATGATAGATCTTCATAATATATTCCTTAACAAAAAAGAGTTTTAGGAAGAGAAAATGATCCAGATGCAAGTTCGCGGTATTAGGTCTTCGTAGGCATGAGATACAATCATTATGCCAAAAAATTATGTACAATAGAGAGGTTTTTTGAACTTATACCATGAGTTATTAGCAACCATGCAACCCAGATCCTTGACTCACATTCTGCCTTATGCAACTTATCCAAGCTTTCTCCCAATAGAATGGATCGAGGGTGCAGAAGTAGACCAAGTTGAGAAGGCTCTATATCCAAGTGGCAGAAACATTTCAAACATGAAGTTATTATACTGTTGGACATGAGGCGGACACAAACAATGCACATCAAACTCCAATATGATGTATATGTTTTATGTGTTTCTATGTGTCATGTCATTCTGTATCATGTCCATATACACATGTGGATCTAACATTACTATATGAACATCTAACTAATATCAACCAAATTCCTGCACAATGGCACTATGGGCAAGAGAATAATCTTTTAAAATGCAGTATTCTATGGGAAGAACTTTTTAACCCTCTACCCCAAGAATGCCCATGTGTATGCGGACTAATAGTGATAGTGATGTTGTTGCACAGATTTGCAGTAGCTCTCATCCATCAGATTGGGATTGGTACGTTTCTCTAAACAAGAAAGTCCAATGATTATGATAGCTCTCATCTTCACCAAGTATCAAGAGTTACTACGCTAGCAAATTCCTTCCTGTTCAATATGCACCGAGATGGTTTTTTAATGGTTTCTAGACTTAACATCATGAAGAAAAAGGAATATTACACTGTCACAAAGAAGGAGAAATATAATAGCACTATTTTAAAAATAAGTACAACCTGAAGAAGGAGAAGGAGAAAGGCCATAATGGACGAAAAATCTCCTCTATCAAAGGAGCAACAAATCCGCCACTACAAACTATAACTTAAATTTTAGTAATCCTAATTGATTCTCCTATTCTACACATGGGTTGAACGAGCTTCCATGAATATCTGCCACTGCATATACTATGAAATCGAATGTTTCCCAAAATCAAACCAGTATTATCAAGGTGCAATGCAGGGCGCAATGTGGCCCGAGCTTAAGTTATATTGTAGTTCCAACATTTATCGTTTAACATATCATTTACCACCAGGAGAACTACTTTCCGATGCTCCTTGGTGTTCCATCTTACCCGAGAATCTACTTCAACACCAAAGAGATGAGTGCAGCAAAACCAAGTCACAAATGCTCTGACCAACTTTTACAATGGCATACTGTTTCTTTATCCATATAAGGGTGTCATCATACTTCTAAAATGTGCCTTAGTTGCACACAGGTTCTTTTAACACAGCCAATCAGATTGCACATTTTATTTATAAAAAAAAAAAACCTTTCCTGGTACATTACTGCAACTCCTTAAGGTTCTCGAATTTTGCACAAAACTTTTATCAGTTTCATTACACCTGATTCCAACTTGCGGTTCTACTTTCTAGAGCGTTTCTTTCATACCCATCCTTACTCTAGTCTAGGTCAATTTGATTCATTAATTATGGAGATAGTTTTTGCTTACATGCTCTGCGAAAAAAAGAAAACGCGGCCTGCTCAAGCACAGCAGTGATGACTAACCACTTATAACTCAATTGGAAATATCTTCATTTCTTTACATATTTTTATAAAAAAAATTAGTGAAACGACGATCAGTTGATATTGTATCAGAGTCCATTATAGAAGAACAAGTAATCACACGTATCGGGTTGTTGATAATCAAAAGAAATTATACCTATATTTCAGAGGCATAACAACTGTTTTCAACTTGACAATCGAAAGAAATTATAGTTAGAGCAGCATTAGGAAAGATGACACTTCCCCGTTTTGTTAGCAAATAGCAAGTCACAACAATTATCCCAAAAGAAAAGAAATAAATTACTA